TTTTTTTCGAACCGTTGAACTGAACCGATATCCCGGTTCAAAGACCAAAAAAACCGCTTTGACGAATCAATCCAAAAGTGCAAAAATTGTTCGAACTGCTGAACCGAACTGCCCAAATTTTTCATCCGATTCACATCCCTGGTATTTTTAGTGCCTTCTTTTGCCTTTTTTGCGGTTTCTAGTGCCTTTGCCTGCCTATTTCGCTATTTTATTTTGCCCTTTTTACAGGTTTTTAGGTCCTAAAAATCCGTCCCCTGGATATGATACGATATTTGTCGCTAACTCGTTTGAGAATAACCCCACAGGACTGCTGTTTTAGCGTCTAATTTAGCAAAGATTGATGAACCCCACTAATTGTGAATTTTGCACTCATATTTTTAGGTTTGTCATGATTTCTGAATAACAATCAGTGTTACTATGTATCCGTTTTTTTCTTAATTTGAAAATAGCGAGGCTGGTTTAATTCAACTTGCCATTTTTCGAATAACTCGAAAACAGACTTCGAAAAAGGCGAATAATCGAACACCCCTATAACCATACAATATCTTTTCCTCACCGGGGCACTGAATTCTACATTTGAATGTATGTGTGTATAATTGTACATACTTATTTTACTATTCTATGGCCACAAGGCGTTGGACTAACACTCTACGTCCGTCTGTGGTGAAGAGAGGGAAAACGTTTGCATTTTAAAGTAGGATTTTTTTAGCAATTGAAGAAGCTCCACTATTTTATTTGTCTTTGCTACCAGTGGGAGTAGGGCGACCGAGCTCAATGGGCTGTGCATTTTGTGCTGCGATGCTGTGGTGCAGTCGTTGTGGTTTTGGGTAAGGCCAGAGCCACAGACTCAGCCACATTTTAAGAAGCAAACAACAACTTTTTTTTGGATTTAATTGGATGTGCCTATTAGCGTGTTTACTACTTCGGGCGTCAATGGAAAATGTCGAAACTCAGAACTAGAATAAACTGTACATACATATGTACATAGGTAGTATGTATGTACATGTATAGTATATACTTCATAAATAAGTGCATATGCGGTTTGGATAAGGGAGTTGGGTTCATTACTTTGGTTGACTCTTTTCGTTTGATGCCATAAAACCTTAAATATAAATATAGCCTGTCTCAATGCTTGCCTACATACTTCACCAATTTAACGGTAAATGACTACACGGCACAACAACAAAATAAATTCCAGAGGTTTGAAAAGAGTATCTGATGTGTTTTGGCCTCTTGAATACGAGGATGTTTTAATTTTTCTTGGTTAAGTCAATTAAAATTTTGACGGGATTTGAAGTTTTTCGGTTATATGTTAAAAATATAATAAAAATGATAATAATAAATTGGCGCTTGCACAATATCCTAGTGGTTGGCCGAATTTTTCCTCCGATTTTTGTGGCGTGCATCTTGATATTGTCACTCAATGAGGGGTTACCTACAGATTTACGCCGACGCCGAATGGCCCAGTCACTGCGGAATGGTAGAACGCACTGCAGACCACTACACGCAGCGGCCGCAAATGTAATATTGACTGCTGAGTGGAAGATTGACCTATCTCGGCAGCTAGTTCGAAAACGCCCTATCTCAAAAATGTTTTCAAGAAGGCTCTATTTCAGAATTTGGTTGAAGAACGCCTTCGAAGGCCTTCGAGGGCCCCGACGCTTCTGCTTTTTATGCTGGGGTATACTCGCCGTGCCCAGGGTCCGTTACAATAAATTTATATTGTGGGGCCTTAGCAAATACAGTATATTTTGCTTTGCTGCCTTTATGCTTAAGTGCACATTTAAGATACCTACCCCAAAACGCGCATCTGAGACATTATTTTTAACATTTATAAGGAAACTGCTCCGATAGATGCATTCAACATACCTGCACATTGGCGATAGCTGCCTTAAAAAGGTGCAACTAGTATCAATCATCAAATAAAGTATTACGTTTACCTGCACTGGCCTACAATTACCTAATTTTACAAGCTTTTATTTATTTTATTCATATCGCAGAACAACGGAAATGGCTATCAATTTGTCTAGTTATATAGATAATAAGATACCATTCGAAAAAAATTTCGCTTGCATTATTTTCTACGTGATAAGTGCTTCTCAATTATTTGGTTTCATAGGGATTCGGATACCTTCCTCATTGAAGTAGTAAAGAAAATTCGCTTAAGTGCCTTTTTCGGTTAGGTGCACAAGTTTTTCGTGCAAAGAGGGATGTGCAGCTAAGCAAAATAAATATACTGTAGTACTTTATTTAACTTATTCTTATCCTGTAACACGTGTTAATTCTTAATTTCTACGAACACAATACGATTAACGGAGTATAAATTCCTAACGGTGCTATTCTATCGACGCGTTGCTGCTGTGACGTCGACGCGACTCTGTCGGCGCTCTGCTGATGGACGGCGTCGGTGCTATTACTTCGGCGCTCTGCTGCTGCGCGACGCCGGCGCTACTGTGTCGACATAATGCTTGAAGCACAATACCCGGCGAACGGCAAATTTCGCCCAGCAGAGCGATGCCGACGACCAACTCTCGCCCGGCTAATTCGCTTACTGAAACACAAATAGAGCGGTATCGAGCGGTTCGAATGCTGTCAGCTGATAAGGTGACCATGTTTCAAGAAGGAAGCTTTTACAACGAAGAGGGAAAATACCAGCAAGAAGAAGTTTAAAATATAGAAATAGTCTTTAAATATAACTACTAGTAAACTTTCGTTTTACTAGATTAATCTCTGATAGAAAAATATAAGGTATATTATTTTACTTTTAAACAAAAATTACGATAACTTTTAAAGTATGGTCATCATGGCCTGTTTTTTGTCGTTGCCGTCGACCGCGGCGATAGAAATAAATCTATCGTCGCGAACAGTCGTCGAGCAAACTTCGTGGTTTGCTTTGATTGTGCGCGTTCTCATATAAATCAGTGTATTTTAATTATTTCGGAGAACATTCGCGACGAAAAATTTGCCGTTCGCCGGTGTTGTGCTTCAGCTTTTATGTTACTATACGACGTCGGCGCTACTGTGTCGGCGGTCTGCTACTATGCCACGTCGGCGCTACTATGCTGGCGCTGTGCTGCTGTGCGACGCCTGCGCTGCTGTGTCGGCGCTCTGCTACTATACGACGTCGGCACTACTATGCCGGCGCTCTGCTGACGTGCGGCAGGCTTAGCCGTTGCGTGGGTTTGCGTGGACTGAGGTGTGGCGGCACTCTACCCCTGAACGACCAAGGGTTGTATTTCGAACAGTTTACAAGTCAAGGGCACTTGACTAGTAGCTGTGCGTTCACAGCTGCAGCTCTGCGTTTTCGCGCGGTGGTGAGGCGACGCCGGCGCTACTCCGCCGGTGCTCTACTGTTGAGCGAACGGGCGTCACCGTCGTGCGGGCTCACGGTTGGTTGTGGGGCGGGGCACTCTATCTTTGAACAACCTTGTATTGCGAACAGTGTACAAGTCAAGAGTTCCTCATTAATAGCTGTGCGTTCACTACCACAGCTTCGTGCTGACTGGTAGGCTAACCTAAGGGTCTGATTATGCATACTTCGCATAACTTCGCACAACCATTTGTACCAGTGCACTAAAAGTGCAACTTAAGAAAATGTAAAGCAAAATCTAAATTCAACAGATCGCTAAGTTTATAAAATTTCTGCTAATTTCTGGGTAATGGAATACATACAAAGTACACACGAAATTACAGTTTCGATTTTATGCGAAGTTATGCGAAGTATGCATAATCAGACCATTATTAAGGGCCATTCACATACAACTTTCCTCGCTTTGCTTGACAGTTCAAACTTTGACAACAAAGCGTGAAACGCAGAAGGTATGCTACAATAAGCGCTTTGACAGCTTTTGCGTTCTCCTTTTCCTCCATATATGTTATCCGGAAAATAGATAACAATATAATAATATGCATCAGGGGCGAACGCAGAAATTATTTACCAAAATATACCAAATATGCGTTTCGGTAGTACAAAATGTCTATATTTTTTTCAATAAATTCGAGTTATTACATATGTATGCATGAAAAATGTGAAATATCATTTCTCTACTGCTTCGACTTAAAAGAAAATATTGTAATTAGTATTTCTTTATTCGCAACTTCTGTGGATGCTAAATAAAGCAACTTCT